AAAGGGTGCAGGGGGGGGCGGGGGGTATGTCCAGAACCATCTTTGTCTAATTTTTTCTTTTATAGAAGTGATATAGTAGTATGAGAATAAAATCATCTTAAAAAAAAAAAAAAAGACTAACTACTTTAGATTATTATTGACTCACAAATTGCCCAAACTAGAAAGGACCTTTAGAAGTAAAGGAGAGGGCCTTCCCTGGTGGCGCAGTGGTTAAGAATCTGCCTGCTAATGCAGGAGACACGGGTTCGAGACCTGGTCTGGGAAGATCCCATATGCCGCGGAGCAACTAAAGCCGTGCGCCACAACTACTGAGCCTGCACTCTACAGCCTTCGAGCCACAGCTCCTGAAGCCCGCGAGCCTAGAGCCCATGCTCGGCAACAAGAGAAGCCACCGCAATAAGAGAAGTTACCGCGATGAGAAGCCCATGCACTACAACAAAGAGTGGCCCCCGATCTCCGCAATGAGAGGAAGTCCGCACACAGCAACGAAGACCCAACGCAGCCAAAAATAAATAAATAAATAAATTTATTTTTTAAAAAAAAGAAGTAAAGGAGAGGCCACATGTTTTGGATTTTCTGAGACAGTCTCACTTTCAAACTTTCTGTGCCATTGTTCTGCGTGGTATTATTACGGGAGATGGGCAGTAATTTTGTATTGAAAACATCATTACTTAAAATATACATGAAGAAAATTGGAGTAAATCCTATATAGTATTTTTGTAATGAGAGGTGTTGAACACCGTGTTAATAAAATATAGAATATTTATTTTTGGCCACGCCACGGGGCATGTGGGATCTTTAGTTCCCCAACCAGGGATCAAACCTGCAGCCCCTGCCGTGGAAGCGCAGAGTCTTAACCACTGGACCTCCAGGGAAGTCCCTACAATACTTTTTAAAAGTACTGTTATCACTTTGCAGCTTAACTTATGCAAAATCACTTTTTACTCTTAATCTTTAAAATGTCTGCCTTCGTGTCCAACTGAAGGTCTTCACCTTATAGATCCCGAGACTGCTCTGAAAGGTGTATTTACCCAACTTTCTACTGAGAAGTTGTCCCTCTTTAGTGACATTTTAACACCATAGGTAAGAAAAGTTTATGAACAGGCAAGTTCTGTTTTATGTTTTTAAAAAGTCTGTTTTTATTTAATTTTTTAAAAATATGAGTCATTTTAAGTGTGTTACATTATGGTGGAAACTTAGCTAAAACTTCCCAGGGATTTGAGAAACCTGAGTTTGAATTCCAGGTCCATGGTCTCTCTGAGCCTAGGTTATCTCTAATAAGAAAAAAGGGAGTAAGAATATTTACCTCAAAAGGCTGTTATGAGCATTCAGGGAATTAGTAGGAATATGAATTTGTCTAATGTACGCCTTGACACAAGTTGTTGAATGGATGAATTTATGAAAATACTATTTTATTGAGTGCCTTACTACCTGCCTGGGACTGTGATAAGTTCTAGAAGTGACAACTATGGGTGTGCAAAAGACAGATGTGGCCCAGCTCTCTCTTGAGTGTCTCTGTACTAAGTATTAGTCATCATGGCAAAAAAGATGAGTTGGCGAGTAATTTTTTACCTTTTAATAAAGATGTCTAAAAGGGGGAATTCCTTGGTGGTCCAGTGGTTAGGGCTCCATGCTTCCACTGCAGGGGGCATGGGTTCAATTCCTGGTCTGGAAACTAAGATCCCACATGCCGCGGTGCGGCCATAAATAAATAAATAAATGAGTCCCACAAATACATATGAAAGGCTATTCAAAAATTATTTTTGAAGTGTCTAAAAGGGGTAAATATAAGATCTCAAATTTGCATTTCACATAGTTTGTGAAATTTTACACATAGACTACTTTTTTGAAAAGGCAACACATTTAGAACAGTGAAGCTATTCTGTATGATACTATAATGGTGTCAAAATGCGTAATATGTATTACAATGCCAAGAGTGAGCCTAATGTAAACTATGGACTTTAGGTGACAATGCTGTATCAAAAAAGGTTCACCACTTGTAACAAATGTACCCCTCTGATGGAAGATGAACAGGCAAGTTATATTATATGCGAGTGTGAGGGCAGGGGGTATATGGGAAGTGAATTCTCTGTGCTTTTTGCTCAATTTTGCTGTGAACTGTTCTAAAGAGTAAAGTTCTTTAAAAAGATTAAAAAGACAGAAAACAACAAAGCCAAAACAAAAAAGGACAACACATAATCATTTTCATTTCCTTCTGTCTAAAAATTGTTGATAGGTTGGTATGTGGGAATTTTCCATTGTGATACAGACCTCCTTTCTCTGTTGCAGGGCTCAGTCAAGTTTTTCTGTAAAGGTCCACATCGTGTATATTGTACGTCAAGAGGCAAAATAAGAATATTATATTATTAATATCAAGGGTTTAAATATTATTTCCACAGATTTTTACTGACAAAAGTCAAAATATAATAAATATTTGAGTACTTTTTTTGGTAATACAACTCTACTGATGAGAAGAATGGAATTATTTTCCCCCCCTGGGGTAACATTTCACTTAATTGAGGTTCAAACATTTGACAGCAAATGTTTATCTGTAAAAACCACACTTAGCTTGGGGACCATACAAAAATAAGCAGTGGTCCAGATTTGGCCCACAGGCCATAGTTTGCCAAGCCCTGACTATTGGTTAAATAGGTAAAATAGGGCCAAATCAGAAAGCGTATAAACTCAAATAATATTAATAAGTTGTATACACAAAGATGTGTTGATTAGCCTGCTCTTGTGTGTGTTTCTGTATCAAAGTTAAAAATAATTTGTTTTAGTTGACTCCTCCTTTAATGGGAATGATTGATAGCTGTTTTTATGCTATCTGAAAATCAGTTTTTTCACAGTGAAAGATTTTTAAATGGCTTAATGGAAAAAAAAAATGGTGATATATGGAAATGGTGATATATAAATGGAAAAAATCGTGATAACTATGTGAGGTGATAGATGTGTTAACTTTTATTGTGGTAATCATTTTGCAATATATATGTATATCAAATCATTATGATATGCACCTTAAACTTACACAGTATCATATGTCACATATCTCAATAAAGATGGGAAAAATGGAAATAGCCAGTAAGATAGATAGATACGTAAATGCTAAATGAAAAAGTTATTTTTTTTAACACTTATTCATTCATTTATTTATTTATTGGCCACGCCACATGGCATTCGGGATATTAATTCCCCAGTCAGGGATCGAACCCGTGCCCCCTGAAGTGGAAGCTTGGAGTCCTAACTACTGGACCGCCAGGGAAGTCCCAAAAAAGTTATATTTTACACGAATCTTTGGTCACATAATTTTGACTTAGTTTTGGCACATATAACCAAGAATTTCTGTCATTGCTTGGCACCTTCCCCTTCCTTACATTCTTTGAATGTAATGTAAGATTTTGTCCTTGAAAGGAAGATTCACAAGTATTTTTTTCTGAATAGCTTTTGGTAAATGATAACTTCTCATTTGTTTGTTTTCTTTATTATGGCTGTAGCTAGAAATATGAGGACCTATTCAGATGGTTTTAGTAGTTTGCATTTCTAGAAAGTCTAAATTATCCCTAAAATGAGAGTTTGCAGGAGTGCTTATAATCATCACAAAATTTTTTTAAGTCTTAAGAAATTTTTTTCTTCCAGCTTCATTGAGATATAATTGACATACAGCACTGTATAAGTTTAAGGTGAACAGCAAAATGATTTGATTTCTATACATCATGAAATAATTATCATAATAAATTTAGTAAACATGCATTATCTCATATAGGTACAAAATAAAAGAAATAGGAAAAAATTGTTTTCCTTGTGATGAGAACTCTTAGGATTTCCTCTCTTAACAACTTTCATATATAACACACAGCAGTTTTAATTATATTTATCGTGTTGTACATTACATCCCTAGTGCTTATTTATCTTATCGCTGGAAGTTTGTACCTTTTGATCACCTTCATCCAATTCCCCCTCCCCTTACCTCTGCCTCTGGTAACCGCAAATCTGATCTCTTTTTCCATGAGTTTGTTTTTGAAGTATAATTGACCCACAACACTGTTAGTTCCTGTTACTCAACATAGTGATTCGATATTTCTGTACATTTCAAACTGATCACCATGATAAGTCTAGTTGTCATGTGTCACCACACAAAGATATTACATAGTTATTAACTACGTTCCCCACACTGAAAATTTCATACCTGTGACTTATTTATTTTCCAATTTATAACTGGAAGTTTGTACCTCTTAAGCTCCCTCACATTTCTTTCCTCCCCCTCCGCCCTCCCCTCTGGCAACTACCTGTTTGTTCTCTGTATCTATGACTCTGTTTCTGTTTAAAGTCTTAAACCCTTCTGGTTTCTCTTTAGATCTTTAAATGGATGAGATGGCTACCACTCAGATTTCCAAAGATGAGCTTGATGAACTCAAAGAGGCCTTTGCAAAAGTCGGTAAGTGTTTTTTGTAGAGTAACTATAGTAAAGCAATCTTTATTTGGTACTAATCAAAGTTATTTCTCTGAAAAATTATATGAATGGTTAATCATGAAACTTAGGGCACGATGGTTAGAACCAATGGAATAAAGTTTTAGAAGCTACACTTTAAACTGTGTTATTGCTAATTATATCTAGTATCTAATATGGTCAAAGGTTTTTAGTCCAGGATCCCAGTCTTTAACTGGGGGCTGCTGTGGCTCCTGAAATTTTTAGACAAATTTTGTGTTGTTATCGTATTTTGTGTATCATATTTTTCTGAGGAGAGGATTTGGAGCTTTCACCATATTCTTAAAGGGCCAGGTGACCCCTGGAGATGTTAAGAACCATTAGATGATGTTTTACCTTTCCCTAATCAGCGTGGCTTTCCTGCCTTTTTCATGGATCTTATGTGCCTTTGGAGAATGCACACTGTTCAACCTTCTTAAATTGAATTAGCATCAGTATAAGATGGGAAGGATTAGCATGCTGCTTGGTTTATCCTTAAACATCACATAACATGTCTTCGAATTCAGCAGCTGAATTGGAAGCAATTTATAGTATTTACATTCCAAATTTCAGTGCTCAGGTCAAGTCAGTGAAGATAATGAGCAAACAGGGCAAGACCTAATTATTGATGTGTGTGCTCACATGAGTCAACATGTGCTTTGAGAGGGAGACTAATACTATTTGGTATCTCCTTGATTAAAGGGTATGAAGTTAAATCAAAATGATTTGTTATTTAAATCAGAATCTACTCTTTGACCTGTGTTGGGAACCCCATCAGTGAAAAGTGAGGAAATACACATCCCTATTCCCATACATTTATGAGCAACATTTTCTACGAAGTCATTTAGTAATAACAACCTGCCTTGGGAAAAATAATGACTCCCCCAGCCAGCGTGACTATTCATAATCTCATCAGAATTCTAACTAGGAAAAAATAAGTCCTGGATCTAACACTGTTTTGTGTGTGTGTGTGTGTGTGTACGAAAAAAAGGCAGTCAATTAACTTGCCATAGATATCACTTACTGGAAGAAGTATACTACTCAGTTTAATATAGATTGATTATGAAAAAACAGCAGGTGAATTCTTGGCTGCAAGACTTTTTAAATCGCATTATTCTGTAGAAATTGTTCTTATCACAATTGTTTCCTTCAAACCTTCTGTTTTATTTATATTCATCTTTCAGTGTTTGGGACAGCCCGATTTGTTTTTTTTATGAATAGGATTTTGGGGTGGGGACCTTATTGCTATTGCTTAATCTTCAAGGCCTCACCTCCTCAAATCAATGTTTATTGTTGAATACAAGCCTTGTTCTCATGTGCAGCATCTTGGAAATATTTGTGCGCAATATTTTTTAAAAATTAAAGCTAATTTGAATATGGTTTACCTGATGGCACTGGGATACTTTTATCAGTAAAAGAGCTTAATTGCTCTTTTAAAGCTTAATGATATAAAGAGGGTTGACCAGTTATCTCCAAGGAGGAACCAGGGCTAAATTGGTCTGAGAGATCAATTAGAGCTTGGACTGCAAGAAAGGGTCATTGTGGAACTACTGTCTTACTTTAAATCATACATCTTGGAGGGTTTAGGGTAGGCAAACACCTTCCCAAAGGCGGGAGATTGAGCCGTGTGTCTTATTGAAGCCCTACCAGGCATGTATTTCTATGATATGTAGACTCTTATTACTCTATATGCTGTAAATAGGAATTCTGGAGTCCAGAATTTCTGCCTGTTCCACATATTATTATTTTGTATTCCCCCTCAGTATCTAGCTCACTGTTGCACACGTTAGTTTTTCAATACATAAATAGTTAATTGATTGAATTCCAAGGAATTATAGGTAGTCTTTTCACATACTGGGACTTTGTCATTATCACAAGCGGTCTTTGTTATGAAGATTTTCATCATGGCGGAATTTATTCTGAAGGCTTTGGCCATTACAATGTAACACATAAAATTTATATTTTTCAGCATATTTTTAATATGCTTGTGTATAGTCTGTCTTTTAGAAAAGTGTTTAAAGGCCCAGCTGAATCTTTTGATTTTTCCTTTAAAATATTTGTAGCTTTTAGTTATTCTTATTTGCAGAGCCCTTAGGCAACTGTCAAAGGTGTTATGGAAATCCTTTTTTTTTTTTTCATTCAGGGAAACTTGATTTTAAAAACAAGCTCTATAACCTATTTTCCTGACAATTCTTTCTTACGGGGAGGGGAGGGGAGGGAGGACTACTTTGTCTCAGTTCAATTGTGACACAATATGGAAATCATTATATGATTTTTCCTGTCTATTAAAAATAATAGCCTTGATTATCTCTTTAGAAATTCAGCAAAATAATAGTGTGTGGAGAAAATCTCTGTAATTACCACTAATCATGGGTTTTGTTCAATCAATTAATAGTGCTTTGAAACTCTCTTTACTAGCAATAAAAATCGAGTATTAAGATTTACAATTCGCCTTTCACTCACTTTCTGCACCTGCTTAGTGTTAAGTTCCAAGCAGTATATTTTCATTTAATTATTTTCATTTTCTCAACATTTGTTTCTAGTATTTTCCACTGGGATAGCAGAATCCTTGGCTCTCATTTTTTCCTACTTCATAATGTTTCTGTTTTAATTTAAAATGCTACAATGCTGTATAAGTTTGTTCTAAAGAAGAATAAATAAAACTTTTCAGAACACTTAGAAAGTAAATATTTTACCAAGGAGAAAATGTCTTTTACAATCTGGGACTTTAATCTTGTTATGGAAGCTAAAGGTCATTTGAATGATGCCTTGTCATAAAGATAAATTCATGTATTGTAGATCTTCTCAGATTGGCTTTAGTCCTGCAAACGCTTTTTTCTCTCCTAAGCAATAGCCCGCTCAGGTTTTTTTTCCAAACAGGAATTCAACACTTCTGAAATAAAATAATGGGGTTTCATAAATGACTAGGAAGAATGTGGGTGTATTCCTTTGAGGCTGCCCACCAAACTAAGACAGAAATTTTTGGTTATGGTGATTGTAACTGTACCAGACTTTCTCATCTCAGGAAGTTGAGTTATTTCAAATTACTTGATATTCTCTAGTATATAAAAACCACATCAGGATGATGCCGCAAAAAGCATGGTGGTTTCTTTTAATTTACTTTTAGTATTCAATAAGATGACACCAGTGCATATTTGTTTAATTATGGCTTAAAAAATTAAAACTACAGCCCAACCAAAAAAAATAAATAAACCAGTGCTCTTTCACTGTGCCATCTGGTTAATTATCGATGGAATATTAGAAATGAAGGTCTCAGGATAGTCTGAAAACCATGTTTTGACTGTGTGGAAGATAAGAGCACAGATTGGGGGTGTGCGAGAATGCGCTCATGTGTGTGTGTGTGTGTGTGTGTGTGTGTGTGTATTTTTTAAGTGGGAAAGTGGCAGCAGGTGGAAAATGATGGCCAACCTCTGGAAATTTTGAGTTGGAAAACAATTGATAGACAGCATTTTTGGTTACCTGGTCTCAGCCTTCTAACCTCATCCAGCCTTCAGCTGTAATTGACCTCCACCTTTGGGGATCCACTATTAGGATGAACTGTTTGGTAGCGCCCTCTATTCTATCCTTAGCTGGGACTCATTAAACTGCCTCTTATATGTATTTGCTGGAATGAGCTACCTCAAAAGGTATAAGCTGTGAAAGGCAAAACCCGTGTTTGAGCATCTGGAGATGTTTAGCAGCTGCCTTTTCTAAAGTTTTAATGCCTAATGAAAGCTCGACTTTATTGCTTAGATCTGAGGGTGGAATATAATCTAAATTCTTCTGCACAAGTCTTTTGGCTGAGTCTTTTAAATTAATATTTTGTGTGCTTTCATAGGCAATCAGGATCTTGTGTGTGTGTTTAAATCCATTATTGTTCGATATATAGATTCCTTTTGTCATTTTCTTAGTGCAAAAAATTGGTGGAATATATTGGTTAAACTAAATGGAACTTTTAAACACAGCTTTTCTGAAAGGATGTGCATCTGCACTTGATTGGTTTTCTTCTTTAAGTCCTAATGAGTACTGTCCGTAGTGGGTTTGTAAAGAGGTTGCATATGTATTGCAGATGAGGACACACATACATGACCTGTTTATAAAGAAAGACACTAGATTTAACAGATTCAAGGATGAATAAAGCAACACACAGATACACACAAAACCCAGGGGCCAAGGGAAATCCTGTTCTCTCTCACTGTCAGATTTATAAGACAAAGTAGCACCCCAAAAGATGCATTTGAAGTGATAGATTGTACCACATACCACCTGGACATGGGCAGTTTAAAACAGCAGCTAAAATCAAAACTACTTGAATTCTGGCTCAGCTTTCTCCAGACAAGTACTTAAAATAGCTTAAATAACAGGATGCAAGGGGAGGGAAAACATTTCCTTTTAAGGATATGCATTCTTGGTGTGATTCAAGCTTCTGCAGGAACATGGCTGTATAATAAGTTTATTTACTTTAAGGTTACTTGGGGGGAGGGTTTTGGGAGAGTTAACTGGCATCTAAAATAATACTTGGTAAGAGAGCATAATGAGGTTTCTTTCAAAACAATGCAGATGTGAACCTACACGTGTCGTCATAGAGACAGACAGACATAGAGGATCTGTTGTTAAAAACATTTGGTTCCTCTCTGATGAATTCAGCAGCCAGTTTGAAAGATACTGAGACACCGGCCTCTCTGGTACAGCACTGGGAGTGTCTTAGTGATTTTCTTTTTTCAAGTCTAGCGATCTTTCTTTAAAAATAGAACACTTGATCCATTTCTCGAAGTTCAGCTCTGGACTCCATGCGGGAACTTTGTTCATTGAGTAGGTGGAGTTTCTTCTTTTTCCCTGCAGCCCGTCAGTGTCTGCCCACACTGACCATATTTTCTGAACCGAACAGTTGAGACCTGTGTTTGCAGAAACATTGAGAACGCTGTAGATAATACAGGCTGTATGATAATATCTACTTTATCAGGTGGTCG